TCTAAAGGCATACCTGAGAAAAGGTTTGTAGGGAGAAATAATCTTTTATTGGATGAGGCAACATGGTTGGAAAGCTGATACGGACAGACTTTCAGGCACATGTACCTTTTTGCTGTACTTACTACTATCCCTCTTCGGAAGATTCACTCGAACTCTCCATTTTCAAAGACCAGTCACTGTTCAAGTGCATTGCAAGAATGTTAACCGTGAATACAGATTAGGCTGTCCCTAACTGTAGGTAACCTGTGTAAACGAAGCATAATCCACCATAATCCAATGGCTATATTATAACTTGGCCATCAGATATTGTACGTAATTTATTTTACTGGAAGGAGCTTTAACTCAAGATGCCCTGATAAATAAAGCTACAACTAAAGACATTCATGTTCAGCTGAGCAGAAAAGGGACTTAAAAGCTGAAGTACACTTTTGATGGCCAAGATTTGACTTCTGGGTTAGAGAACTGACTGCTTTATTGAAATAGTGTGAGTATTTTTTTTTCCATTTTACTTCTCTACTGTTTTGATGTCATCTAGGTATTCACTGAATAAATATAACTTTGTTAGAAAATAAGTAGCTGAGTGAATTGGTTAGCTGAAGTTGACAGTTCATGATCTACAATAGAATACATTAATAATATTTTAATATAGTTACTGAATGATAGTTACTGCTTTGTGAGGCCTTTACCTCAAGCCCTAGGTAGCTGTTAAAATGAATAAACAGGAAGCTAAAAAGAAGGCATGGAAGCAATCTGAAAGGAAAAACAGCAGCAAAAAAAAGACAAAACTTCATCTGCTTGTTTGCAGAATGCTCTGCTATAGCCCCTTTTTGTTATATGTAAATCAAAGCAATAAAAACAACACATTTAAGGTATAACAGAAAGTAAAACAGTGAACGTTGTTTGTGGCATTGGCAAGCCCTCCTCTTTGCAACTGTGAGTGTTTTCTTCATTTGCACAGTCTTGTTCCCCATGAACAAAGGCTTCCTGATTGTCATATGAGCTTGACTAGAAAGCTGTGCCGCAGCTGAAGAGACATCAAATATTAATATCTGTGCTCATATAGCCAAAACTGTGCTCGCTGAATAGATCTGGAGCCTGGGTGAAGCTACGTTTTCTTAAAAAACCAAATACAATTTAAAAATACAGTAATAAATCAGTGTCAATAACTGATGTAAGGCAAAATCAGATAAAGCCAATGAATCTGAGRTAAAAGATAAAGCCAGACAAAGCAGAGAATATTATATTACTGAGAAAGGTAATAGCTTCTTACAGTTTATTTAATACAGGGCATGAGGCAGCAGGAGTTTTTGTGGGTTAAATATATATATGTGTAGCTAGATACCAAGATATAGATCAGTAGGCCTCTGCTTTTAATTAAAAGGCAATGCAGGATATCCCCATTATTTAATAAATGAGTTTTAAAAACCTGGTGCTTTGTGTCACAGCACACGTGGGTTCTCTTGYGTAGATAGATCTTAGCAGGATATCTTCAGAACAGGCCCTTGTTTCAGTTAGGAGAAACACTGGCCATGGAGGTACCTGCTTGCAGGGCACTGTAYGATATCTGTGCTTGCCCTGATCACACTGAAATCCCACAGTGGTTCTGACTCAACCTGACTTAGTAACTGTGCCTTATGCTTCGCTTCCTTCTTTARAAATAAGGCGGTAGCAGCAGGACGTCTGTTGACTTTTTATCCATCTTTTGGAAGGCCTCAGAGCGTAAAGAGTTCACTGACATGTCGGGAAGTCATCGCGGCGCCTCCGCGGGCAGCAAGGGAATAAGCAGCAACCTGCAGACACTGCGGCCTCACCTGGGGATCTCTCCGTTTACCTCCTGGCTTTTGCTCGCACTGGCCGTCAAGGGGGGAAGTTTTGATGATGGCCCATAAGGTCTGTCTGTCTGAAGAGAGACGGTCTCTCTTCCTGCAGTGTAACCATGGAGACAGACAAGGAACCTGTAAAGAAAGTGATTGAACATGCTGTGCTAATTAACCCGACCCTCCAGTTGAAGGATATGGTTAAATAAATTTTGCATGAGTAAGCATATTTGGATGTGCAAAAAGGGTATGAAACACGTAGCCTTTTTTCTTTTTTCTTTTTTTTTTTTTTTTTTGACAGTCGTATATCTGAAAAAGAATGGTAACTGTCATCTGTTTGCATCTGGAACATCAAAACAAGAAACACTGTATCTTGCTGGTGTTTCATATAGATATTTTGGAAGCATTGGGTTTAAATTGTAAATATGTCTGGAAGATGATATTTTTTTCACGCCTTTAGTGTGATGAGAGATGCTTGCATTAATTCTGAACGTTCAAATGAAAACATTCATAATTGCAAATGCCTTATTTATGCACCAAGAGTGCTATTCAGAAAACACAAACTTTGTTCCTTTTCTGAGAGAAGACAAAGAAGCTCCTCTGGGGCATTAGCCTCATTTAGGTACTTTGAGTTCTGCACTGGAGGAACAACTGTCTGAAACAGAGGGACTTTCTTCCTGTGCCAAATTTTAGCCTTTGTGGGTATGTCCCTTAGTTGCTCAGTTCTGCTTTCCATTTTGTCCATTTAGTCTCCAAACTAGTGTATGTGCACAGATAGGAAACCAGTTGTTCCCAATTTAAACCACACGGCCTGTAACCATAAACCTCCCAAGCCTGGTGCAGCGATGCTGTTTTGATGCCAATGAAGGGCTTCTGCTTGCTTTTAAATATTCAGGTTCTGCTTATCTCTTTCTCCACTCCAGCCRTGATCCTCTGAGATCTGAGAAACTAAGCACAGCTGCTGACCTCAGAGGCTTCCRTGGTGGTTTGAGAGCAAGGAGTACCTCAAATAAACAGACTTAACTTGTCAAATACACAAGGGTTAGCAGGAAAGTGTCATCTTTTGGAAACCYGATTTATCTTCAGGTTCCTTGGGAGAAATTAGAGCTGAAGGAGGCCTAGCAGCATGGGAACTGAGGAAGCAGGATGGGCCAGCAGTCCCAAGTTGATGGGAGGTTTGATTCTCCCAAGGGAAAGGTTGCACAACAGGAGGAAAGGAGTTTGGGGCTGTCTGGCACTGGGAAAGATCTTTACTAATCAGCGTGGTGATAGAGACCGTCTGGAGGCTAGGAATACCATATCATTTGCAGTTTGTTTTCTGGTTTGGTAAATTGAGTCCTTGATCCTTTTTGCATGGGAGATTTCTTGGGTGGATCAAACACTTGATGTCATGGAGACTTGAGTTCCTTCCTCAMAGCAGTAAAAGGATTTGAGAAGACTGGATGGAGACTCGAAGGGAGGACTGGGTAGGCAAAGAGAATTCACCATCCTGGCTTCTCAAATCTTTTAACCATTTTTATTAAGCTTAAGAGTAGTAGTCCCATATCCACAAATACAAAATTTCTATTTCAGTTTAGTCCTGTGGATATGTATGGGTATAGGAAGAAGAGCTGCTGCTAGCAATGTGTGTGATGCAACCTCTCTTCTGGGCCTTCCTAGAGCTGTGATGCGTTTACAATCCAGAGATCTTGGTGTGAGCTTGATTTAGCTGGTGACCAGGTGTACAAATAGAGGAGTTGGAAGTCTGAAAACTGAACACATCTGAAATGTTTGGTTTTATAATGCATTTTGTCATACAAGTCAAATTATTCCTCTACGCTGTTCTAATTGCTATAATCAACAAATACTGCAATCTACTGACAAGATTTGCTATCATGATTATGAAGATGTATTCAGTGAGATTAGCTGTTCTTAAATAGCTTCTCCAGTTGTATTGAGTATGAAGGTGCAGAGGACTCTAGACTTTCATTTTAGGTGAATTCCCATACTGCATATTCCTTCCTGGGTGCAGGACCTAGCATTTTGACTTCTGCATGATCTTATTTTAGTATTTTTATAGCTTTGTGAAAAGTAAATCAGTGATCTTTTTTAGGAGGGCAAGAAAACGCAGTACTGTGTACTTCTGATTCCCATTACTTGTGCTTGCCCAGTGTTCCCAGTCAGGGGGCTGTGAAAGTCTGGGAATGAATAAGCGGAGAGTTTCGAGGCAATAACTAGGAGCAAATTAGGTGGAAAAGGTATTGTAGGCAGGTGAGGGAAGCAAACACCATAGCCAGACATTTTTTTTTTCCAGTCCCTGGATGAGAGAGGCTTCCATAGGAGAACCATTAAGAAAGTATGCTCTTTAGTGCTGCTTTTAGCATATAATAGGCTCTCCTAAAATCTTGCCAATTTTACATGAGATAGGTTATGGTTATGTTAGTGTATGTAACAAATTCTGTAAGGATTTGCATTCCAGTTGGACTGAATTATCTCAAATGACTGGCAAGCTTAAAAAGACAGTTATTGTGAACATTGTATCTTCAGGAGSCCACCCATATGGAGAGATTTCACTGAAATAATTTCTGCTGTTGAGATTGTTATATTGCCCGTGATAGCGGGCAATACATGTATATATATAATAAACCATTTTCTGGTGTATTCTTGCAACATTAATATTTATTTGAATACAAATGTATATATGCCTCTCCTATTTTGAAAAAAAAAAACTTGAATAAACAGACTGAGATTTGTAGTATAATCTGTGGAAGGTTTCCATAGGCTCCCCTGGAGAATCCCATCTGTGACACTGTTTGTATTGGACTTCATTTTCCATTTCCTTTTTTGACATAACACTGAAATGAAAGACAGCGGTGCCTAAGGATGAATAGTTATGGAAATGGAAACCTTTGTTTATTTGTCTTTCATTTAGGTATACCACAGTAAACCCTTGCATCTCTCTTGGGCCTGTGGCTATCATTATACAGGGCACACTTGATTATTCCCTCATAATAATCGCAGCTCTGTTCAGCCAGACACTAAATGATAGATGCTACCATGTGTTCCAGTGCTAGAAGAAACAAAACCTTGAAATATACCATCATTTTATGTGATATAGGTTCATATATCTTTTTAGATTCATAACTGTACATCAAACCTTTTCTTTGTTCTCTTTTTATTAACTGGATTGTATTCACCACACAGGTCTGGCAAGAGCTAAATCAGTTCCCAGCCACACTTATTCCAATGAAGTGGTTACCCTATGGTACAGGCCTCCGGATGTCCTTTTGGGGTCAACAGAATATTCCACCTGTCTTGACATGTGGTAAGCATAGCATCCCTCTATAAGACTCTGTGCTTTAGCTTTAAGTTTGCTTTGACGTGGAAAACAGRTATGTAACAATTATTGGTATGGGTGAGATGATGTATAAGGAGTGATCTGTGTAATTCACTTAATATTTCTTTAAAGGAAACCCCTCGTGCCACCCACAATTTGCTGCTGGTATCTAGTGTTGATGCACCACTAGCAGAGCCAGTAATGCTTTACAAGGGGTCACCTGTTGCTTCTTGCTTTCTGTGATCTTAATCTGATAGGTTATATTGCAGAAGATAGACTTTATTCCTTAGAATAAAGAAGGGTGGAAAAAGAAGTTTTTCTTTATCAAGTTCTGTATTGTGGAAGAAATTAATTTGCTTTCAATATGTATTTAATTAACTGTATAAATCTATACAACTCATTTCATTTGGGAAAATATACATACTGAACAAATTTCAGAGGAGTATAATGATTTGTTAGTAGCTTGATGGAAATATGTGCTTAAAATATATATTTCTGTATTTAGAGTTAAGATTATGTTAAAATTGAGATGACTATAAAGAGGAATTTAGGTTTKCAGAAAGGCTACAAGTGTGGGAGGGTAATATTTCCATGGGTAATCTTGAAGTGCTTGGTAGTACTGAAACTGATGACCTAGAAAGAATACCTTTGTTTCCAGAAGAAAGTAAGCACGACTGAGCTGTGTTTGCTCCTAGAGCCCTGAGATCAGAGAAAGTGAGATGAAAATTTATTTTTTTGGAAGTACCATCTACTTTTTTTTTTCCCTGTAGTGCTATAAGTCTTGATTTCTGGAGGCCAGGGTTAGAAGCTGCAGGATAGTTTCCTTTGGAGGGTTACACAGTGTAAATACTGCAACAAATCATAGAATCATTGTGGTTGGAAAAGACCTTCAAGGTCACCGAGTCCAACCATAAGCCCTTCAACACCATGCCTGTTAAACCATGTCCCTAAGTGCCTCATCCACATGTTTCTTGAACACTGCTAGGGACAGTGACACCACTGAATAGTACTGACGAGAACACTTAATACAACTTGACCTCCAACTGCCTTAGTCCCTTAGCCCCCCTCCCTGTTAGGGGAGGTGAATTCAGAGGCCAGAAAGGTGAACAAACATCTGAGGAGGTGAACGTTGTCACCCTGCAGCCATACCAGAGGCCAAGGCCATATCTTTTGTATGAGCAGTCTGGCTTTCTGCCAACCTCACAGGTTTAAAATCGTTTTCCCGAGCATCTCAGCTTCTCTTCTGTGCTAAAACTGCCCTGTTTTCCCAAAGATCTGTTCCACCTAGTGTCTTCGCAGGCTGCTTGCAGTGCTCACATCCCATCTGCTGCTGACACCGTGCAGTCAGCTCTCTGCCCAGATAAACCTCTGCTGCTTGCTGCAAGAAGGGTGAGGAAGGGCAGCTGCAGAAGGAGAGGGAAAGAGTTGGCAGGCATCAATAGTCCCCTTTGCTCGTCTTGAGATCATTCAGTTAACATAAGTTCAGCTCTTGAGAGTCCCACATCCATGTACGTTTGTGTACATACATGCCTGAATTAGTGAAATATAAAAATCTGAAAGAAAATACGGAAACTTATGAAGAAAATTTTACTAAAGTAAATTGTTTTAAAAATCCTATTTTTTTTGGTCAAGAACAGGAATCTGATTATTTTGTTAATATTTAGCAATTTTTAAAAATTATTACTCTTTGAAAATAAGGTTTATTTATTAAAATTCAGCAGGGATATTAAAATTTGGATTCTTAATGAAGCTTTTTGATGAAGAATCATTTACTCAAAAACTTAATACCTCATGAAAATAGATTTTTTTGCCATTCCTCCCAATGATAATTTAAGTAAAAGAGCTATAAAAAGCCCAGTCAAGCTATGTATAGTTATTGTGATAAGGATCAAATTAAACCATGCAGACAATAGAAGTATTTTAAACAGACTTGACATTGACTTGATGATCATATGTTTATATTCAAATTAAAGGGAGAGAAGGATCAAGGGAGGACTCAAAATGTCAGTTCAACTATACAGTCATTTTTTGTCAAGACCTTTAAAATGAGCTAGGGATCGTTGCTGAAGAGCTTGAACAATAGCCATAAATTATGTCCTCTTGTGCAGAACATTTAATATAGGCCCAAGAAAGATGCAGATGCCCAGGGGTAGAAACAGGAATCTCTGTTCCAAATGAAAAATGAAGTCAATACTGCTGCTATAATAGATGTGTAGCACTGATAAAATTTCTAGTCCCTTATACAAACTGGCAGAAGTGTAGGGAAAAAAAAATCATCATTGTTGCTTTCACATAATGGAACTTTATGTAGATGCTGAACTACTGCCACACCAGAAATCAGATTAGAGTAAATTTATATCACATATGACAGAGGAGTTCTGGGCTTCTACCTCTCCCTGCTTTGCTGGGCTGTCTGAGATGGCACTTACAGTTTAAATGCAGGAGACGTAACTACATGTTAAGGTCACTGATGCTTATTTGGTAAATCTAATGGTGAGCTCTGCTGGAGGAAAGCCAAGCTTGGGGCTTTCTCTGTGCGAGGGCAGTGCAGAGCAGGGCCCAAATTACATTACAGCTGCTTAGTGACTTTGCAGAGTGGGAGGGAGAGGAAGGGGGAACGGCAGGAGGGAGGGGAGAAGGGAGAGCYACAAGGAGAAAGGTGCCTTCCACCAGATGCTAAGACTACTTAGTAATTCGGTTATCAAAAGTGTGTGTGTAGCATTAGCATTTTTATGCAATTACTGGCATTTTGTCCTTATGTCAGATACTGTGCGCTCCCGGGTGTCTTTGTTGATACCCTGCAGTAAGACAAGACTAGGGAGCCACTTCACTAAATATTTAACTAATGTTGAGGTACAAAGCACAGCTGTTCCTTCCATTTAGGGGGAAAAAAATGATGGGGCCTTCGCTTTAGCCATGATAAATGACATTTCATGGTGATTCCCAAGGAAAGGAAAGCGGGGCTGTTATTGAGTAAAAGATGCATGAAAAAAAGGATCCAAATATGAACCTCTGGACAGGGGCTGGGAAGCAGGTGGCACAGGCTGCAGGCTATTTTTACACTTCATTTGCTGGTGTAGGGCATTAGGTTAGTAACTAAAAGCTAATGATCCGCGTACAGTATTACATTCTCCTGCTTTCTGTTTAAATAGCCACTGGCGATAAAATAATATTAATGAAGACATACATGCATTAATGGTGTCAGGCCGGCRATGGAAATCGGGGCCGTGCGCTTTGTGATTTACTGCGGGCAGCGGGTGATGCAGTGGCAGGGATTGCGCTACCTGACACTGCAGCAGAGTGACGTGATAACCTTGGATAGGAGAAAAAAAATCCTCGTGATAAGGACTTCTAGCAGCTAAAAGGGCTTTCCGCTGCCCATGGCATAACGCACTGAATTTTATGGGTCTTTGAAAGGCAATGCAAGGCAAATAAGCTTTGATATATAAAGGGTTTGTAATAATTACTAGAATCCATATATAGGTAATACAGAAAAAAAATCCCAAATTAACCTATTCCTGTTCCTCTCAGGAAGAATTTAGTATTAGTAAATGAAGGCATATTATTGAAGCCCTTCTGAGTCATGCAGTGCATGYGCTGCTACATCTGGGTTTCTTGGATGAGGAAGTCACTGGGGATATTTTATTTTGAGGTGCAGCTGGCTATAAATGATATTTGCTAACAGCTAGCAATGTTTGGCATATCCCATTGTTTTGTTTTGAAAAAAAAAATGCAAGGAAAGAATTATAGAATGTAAATTCTTAGTCACAATTCAGGTAAAATAAGAAATTAGGGACCATGATATTATATAAAATTCACATATTTTAACTGACATTAGATATGCTTAGTGCTATAGAAGAAACTGCTTACAGCTAGACCAGTTGTGCTAGGAAGTGCTTATGAAACCACCAGTATTTAACTTTGTGGCATCTGGATAAAAAGATATATGCTCGATTCTGATCTTAATCTAGGGAAAGCTATTCACATGGAGATTTTTCATTGCATAGTTAGAAAAATAAATGCTGTTTTTCAGGTACCAAACACTCTCCACAAATAACCCACTTGGAGTGGAAATTAGAAGGTTTTCAGTAATTCCAGGCATGCTTTTGTGAATATTTGACCAATGAAGACCTATGACAGTAATTAAGATATTTATTATACAAAACCAGATTTTGTCTTAGACACAGGTGCATCAAATTATATTTTTACACAGGGGATATTACATAGGCATCGTTATCCTGTGTCTGTTGTAAACAGCATGGAGTGAAAGAAATGTGAGAATAGGAGTCCCTTAATATACTGAAGAAATAGTACGTTAGACCCAAGAGGGAACACRTGCAGGGTCAATTGGTTCTTTCAACATTGATGGGTTTTATCTTAACTTCTAGGGCAAAGAAAAGACAATCTTTAAGTGGTGAAGATATTTTGACAACTGTCAAAGTATTTTTAATTAAACTTCTGGAGAAAACATTGGCAATGACAGAGATTTTATCAGCTGGTTTAACTTATGACTCGAAAACTCTCATGGGGTCTCATAGAAGGGAGTGAGTGGGGAAACCATCTTGTCTGTTGTTATTGGAAGGACATTTCAGTTCCTACCTAAAAACTACTTTTAGCCATTTGGAACATCAGATTTACTCATCACTCTACCTCTATCAATAGTATTTTTTCATGAATGGCAGAAAAGCATTTCAAAAAGAATCTGGATCCACACCAGAAAGAGAAAGCCAGGAACTGGAAAGAATCTTGTGGAATATATTTAGTTCTATTTATAAGAAGGGTCATACAGGAATGTGGCTTTTTTTTTTTTTTTCCTGAATAAAGTAAAAGTCTATGCCATTTTAACATGTTGTATTTTACTAGTGAATTTTTTGAAAGAGACTCCAGTATTGCCTCTTGGTGATGAATACATGAAAACAAGTTTTYCTTCTGATAGATTTAACAGTACAAAACTGTGCATGTAGTTTGGGGGACTTGGAAGAAAACTGTTCCTCTCAGTTTCAGAATTTACCAGGATTGCTGGAAGCACTTGCTTGGTTTTCATAAAATGCCTTACCCCTCTGAAGCCAATTACTAGACACTGAAATCAAGCTTTTTGACAGATAAAGCTTCTTATGTGAAGGCCAATATACATCTTCACTATGAAGAACATGCTGAATGCCATCACCTACACTGAGCCTGTTAGAAAACATTGCAAATCTGTTCAGGGCAGAAAGTTCAGCAATTTTTATCTGCTTCTCAAATATCCAGTCAGCCTTCCCGTATTCTCCATTTAAATAAGAGCTAAAACTCAATTGAGACACAACTCATCATTCCAAAGTGCATCTGTTGTGTTTTGTATAGATCCCTCAAGAATATTAACTGAAACAAAAAAAATCCTGCTTGTAGAGACAGGAATGTGAATTCTTAAGCCTAAAACAAAACAGACAAAAAGATTGTTAGTTATTTTTTTAGGGAATAGACTCTTGCATTGCAAAAGCTGTGCRGAAAAGATTTAGTTTCTTGAGGTCTCCAGCTTCATTCTTACAGGCTCCCTTACTATGTCGGTTCAGATGTAGCAGTTACTCCTTCATCTCTGCTTTCACCTCATACTTCATATAAGGTTGCATGGTGACAGCCGGGGAGTCCTAGAAAATTAAGCAGGACAATAGAAGAGCAATATTAGATGGTATGGCAGCATATGGTCTCATCAATACAYCAATAGGTTTAGTCATGCTTTTTTGTCACCCGAGAGTTAGCCCCACGTTTCAACACGAGATGGCTGTCACTTCGAGTCGTGCTGACTTGGCAGGGTCATCCCAGGCTGCTCCACTGGGAAAACACCTGAACCAAGTCACAGAAGTAGCAGCATTTGGCTTTTTCAAAATCAGTTTTATAGTGAGAATGGGAAAATCTAAACTGAGTGTACTGAAGTATGCTATGTTCATGTTCTCTTTTTCCACRCACACACAATTTCTTAAATGCAGCAGCCTGAAAATGCCCCTGTATGCTGAGTGTGCACAAGTAATCCATAAAGAACATGCCCTTGGAAATGCATGCACATTAAGCTGAGTTAATTGGTCGTATTTCATATTTCAAGATGCAATGTTTGCATAAGAGAAACTAGAGATGGGAGTGAGCTGTGAGATCATCTTATCCACCCTGCTGTTAATGCAAGCCTGTTCCCTGAAGAATATTCCTGAGTGTTTCAGCTTGTCTAGTTTTACATGGCTGAAGCAGTGGAGTTTCTGGTCCGTTGGGAAACTCTTGTATGGCACAGTGAATAAGTATATTTCTCCAACACACTAGAATTTTCATTTCTGATATGTATTTGTAGTTACACTACTTTGGATCTACCTACAACTCTAGGGAAACAGTAAAATCTTCATATGTGTTTTTTTTTTTCTGTTCTTTAATTCTACATAATTTTAAATATAGAGCCATCACATTCTTGCTGTCCCTCATGTATCCTTTTAGCCAAGGATGACATAGTTCTTTTAATTTCCTACAAGTTTTCCTGACTTACAGGTCAGTTCTTCTGGCATGTAAATAATTTTTGCTTTGCTCAGAAATCTCTCTGATCAGTATAATAGTTTGTGAGGTCTACAAAAAGAAGCCTAAATTTCAAGGCTATGTAGAGGCTTGATTTCTATATCTGCTSAATGCACATACACCTAATATTGGTAAATCAATGATCCCATTATATTTTTAGTTTCTACTTGCTGTAAGTCTAATGAAAAACTCACCAATTAGCCCTGTCAACTCAAAGTCTTTATTTAATATTATGGTTTTCTAGTATTTSCTATCAATTCAGTGCTGGACTTCTAGCTATTTTATTTTCTTTTTGTTATTATATCTCTTTATTCTTTTCTTTTTTTGTGGGCTTACTCCTCAAAGCATTGGGTGCCTTAAAYTTGCAATCTAAGCATATGGTTAATTTTCAAATCTGCCAGTGTTGAACAGCAGTCTTCCAGCTCAAACCTCAGRGTTACTCAATGATTTTAGTAACCTTTTGATTTTTGTATAAGCCATTCATTTAACCGCAGTACCCTTTCATCATCATTTCAGATTATGACTAAATAAAGCCTTAGTTTATACAAGTGTTCAAGAAATTTAATYGGACTCTCTTTTTCCAAGCAGAAGACTATTCTTCAGTGGCATTGTTCACAGTTCTTTTCTTTTTTGTTTTGTGTAAGATCCACTAAAAATGTAAAATTTTGTAAACAGAGTTTGCAAAATAGAATATAAACTTATCTGCCAAAATCATAAGATGGTTGATGTAGGGACCTCTGCACAACACCTTCTCCATACAGTTATTACAACGTTTCTGTTCAAACAGCTAAAATAAGTTTCTGTGCAGATAGCTGTGTTAGCTCTAAAATGATCAACTAATTTAATCAGATGCCTGGTGTTTGCTTGCAAGAACAGATCTCCCATCTCCTTTTCTTTAGACCAAATTCAATTGTTTTATTTCTCATCTTGAATAAATTGTTTCTATCTGAAATCTCTCCTTGCCCAAGATCTGGCTATTATTTATAAATATTTGACTAAGATATATTGTGCTTTTCTCTACCTAATGAGGCACTAACCAGAATGAATGATGAATGACAATTTAATCATTTCAGCTCCTTCAGTGACCGGTGGAAGCATATGGAACATAAATTTTAATGTCTCCTTTCTATAAACACCTTAATTCATCTAAAATTAGATATGTGAGAGCTGTGTTTTCTAAAGTTCTGCTTTGCTTTTCAGTGGCTGAGGAGACTCTTGGCTTAATATATTTAGGCTTAGCAATGTGGAAGAAAAATGTGAGGCATGTTTGATTTTTATTTTTCAAGAAGTTTGATAATCAGCTCACTATCCTTAAGCATAAAATTATTCCATTATTAAGTAGTGGTCGAGGCATTCAGAGATTAGTAAAGCATGGGTTGYTTGCTGATAATCTTAGTTAAGTGGTGTCTATAAATACCCGGCYCTGGCCTTAAGGAAAACCTGCCAACTCTTTTCATTAGGTTGTTTTATTCTAGAACCATTTCCTCACCAATATATACCCGCTCCCCTAAAATTAAATGATACTTTCTGAATACATCATTGTGATGAATAAACAATGAGAATGTAATTATTACCTTGCAAATAGTTAACTTATAAGTTAGGAATTATGACTGGGTTTTTCTGATTCAAAGGACAAAACATCACAATTTAGTGTATTGACAGTACACTAGCCTTGGGATTTGTGGTTGATTCTGATACCTRTTTTGAGTTTTTTTATTGTCTTGAGTTGTGTGGTCACTTGCACAGATGTGGCTATATGTATATATATGTGTTTATGGGTATATGTATATCTATGTACATGTTTGCATACAGAAGCTGAGCAGCTTAGAACAATTTAAGTGAGTTAAAACAGCCCTGCATCCTATTCGTAGCTAGGGRAGGTGATTTTTCCTAAAATATTTTTTTGCTGAAGGAGAAAACAACTCCTGGGCTCTTTTTATTCAAGAAAGAAGCCGATGAGTTTATGATTTCTTTTGCTCCCAGGAGCAGGAAATCCATGGGCTGTCTGAGATTTGATTCAAAGAGCTGTAGAAGCTTTAAAGCCTTAGGAGTTCCTTCCTTTGTGCTGAAGTTGGTGTTTCTCAGATATTTCTTTCCCCTTAGTATCTAGTATTTCCTGCAGTGGCTTCTGAAGGRGCTGGATGAGGGGGATCCATGTGAAGTACCTTCTGTGAGAGGTGCAGAACGGTGCTGTCATGAGGAGGCTGTAGCTAATGGAGAGAGGGGAGATAGGGAGAGAGGGGGTTCCACCTACTCAGACTCTTCCGTGCCTTTGGGGATGGAATCAGGAACCCCAAGGGGTCTGAGGAGAGGAGAGAAGAAAGCCCCAGCAAGCCCAGCCCAGGAGGGCTTGAGCAGGACCCAGGCTCAGTGGCTCTCTGGAACCAAGGGCCTGATCGCTCCTTTCTCTCAGATTTCCCCATGCGGAGCCCTCCAGCTGTCAGTGCCTGTGTGCCCTGGGACAGGAGGCACCCAGATGGACAGCAGCTGCCCTGACTTCAAGGGTCCCCGCTGACGCTGCCCTCACTCTGGCCCTCTCCATGTCTTTGGACACCTGAAGAGAGAGACAGTCACACACATACATTGGTTTCCACTGTAGGCACACAAACCTTCTGTAGCCTGTGTTGATAAAAAAATTACTGTAATATTGATGATGGAGACAAAAGCACTGATCATGTTGGCAGTTTAACATAAAAGAAATATTTCTTACTTTGCATATTTTCTTTTCTTTTTTTCCTCTCCAGGGGAGTGGGCTGTATCTTTATAGAAATGATTCAAGGTGTTGCTGCTTTTCCAGGAATGAAAGACATTCAAGACCAACTTGAAAGAATATTCCTGGTGAGTTCTATATGGCTGCAGTAATGTTCCTAAGACAACAAAATGCTAAAATTGACTAAGAGGTGCACAAGTGTGTCTTTGTGTCTGCGATCAAATTCCTGGTGGAAGAAAAAATCAGAAGTCTAGTCTATAAACTAGATGCATTTTACTTGATCTATCCTTCAGGATAACATAAAATGTTCAGATCCTGCAGAATTTCATTTTTTCAATAAATATATTTCAAAACAGCCTGTAGAAAGGTTTTTATAAGGATGTGAAACAAATTTCCCAAATGTGTGTCAATGCAATATCTAACCACCTTGTAATGCTGACTCAGGGAATAGTCAAAAATTAGGACTCTGGGTGACTCTGTTAAAAACATGTTAATATTGTAGTGTCAGTATGAAGTATTTAGTTTGGGGGACATGCATGCAGAGGGAGAAGTGAAATAGGAAACGGGATGAGAAATAGAAGAGAAAGCAGAAATTGTGGTTATATTCAAGTTCGATGAAAGAGCTAGATTTCTTCTGAAACATGGTTCTGCCTTTTATAACATGTATGGGTAGTTCACAGGCACTGAAGAGACATCTGCATTTGGAGTGAACGAAGACCTAACTTGTGTTGAGTGGATGCCTCATTTACACCCATTTACACATCATTTACATGTTTAATTTCCAAAGCTTTTTTGGTTTCAGTATTTTTTTTTTCCAGAGGGAGGGGAGAGCAAAATTTTTACATTTTTGGAAAGTTGGTTTCTCTTTTCYCCTTTGTGATCTGGACTTTGACGGTTCCCTTCCAGAAGGCTCAGGAAGTGTCTTTGGAAAAGGGAATGGAGTTTTCCTGAGTCATGAGCCTCAGGCAGCAGGAGCTGGGGAGCAAGGCGGGAAGTGCTGGTTGTTGGTGCTGCAGAGTGGCCGAAGGAGGGTAGTGAAAGAAGAGCTTTCTCCCCTCAGCCCTTCAAACACTGTTTTGGTTCTGCCCAACCAAACAGACAGACAGCATGTTTACAGACAAACATGAGCACATCCTTGCTTTTAAAGATTCTTCTGTCATGAGTCATTTTGTCCCATGTGGGGAAAAAAAAAGAAATCTTTGTTTTGTACTGTGTTTATTAAAATTGCGTTCTTCATTTTGCTCAGACTTGCTTGTACTGTGTCGCCTCTGTTGGGCTGACTTTAACATCAGTGACTTTAACAACTGCTTTCAGGAGTGATTCAGAAAATCTCTCTAAAACAAGACTTTCTGGTTTCATTATGAGTTTCATTATCTTGTTTCATTATAAGTGCTGTGGAAATGGCAACATATACTCTGAGGAATAGTTATGAACAGTATCTATGACGTATCCAATTGCATTATTTTATTCACTGGCTTGTTTATTTTATCATAGTAAATTTGGGGTTCTTTAGAATTCTGCTTTTAAAAATTTCACAGTTCACTGTTATAGAGAGGAACACCACYACCAAATGAAACTTTGAAAACTAAAATTCCTCTTTTACGCTTCATCCYATTTATTGTGGAAAAATCTTAGTGTTTTTGCTTTGGAAATCATGTGTGTGTCTAAAAGCAAAAGTCAGTGATCCATTTGACAGAGCATTTTCACAGTGGGTAGAATATATAAACCTATTTTGAAAACATTTGAGTATTCCTGTTAGCCTTTCTCTTTCCTTAGTTATTTCTGTGTTSAAATTCCATGATAAATCTATCCCAGGACAAGTTTTGAGACTTGCCAGTTTTTTTAATATTGTTTTCAAACTGCAGCTGCAAGTATTGAGAACAACTTGTGAAATAACGAGGGATAATTTATTGATCTCTTTTCTTTAATTTGTTCTTCTGCAAATCTTAGAAGAAAAATAACATATTTTTAGTTGTGTGGTCTGTAGTAAATTTTAAAATAATGGCTAATAAAGGATTTCTAACAAAAGTGTCTAGTTGACCTTAGCTAARGAGTTRCAGTGAGTACCTCCCCAAAGCACTCAGAGCATAATTAAGAATTTAAGAAGTTATCTGTTTAAAAGTTATAAAACAAAGGATTATTCTTGTTTGCTTTTGTATTTGAACAAACGGATTAAATTCATTCATTCTCCAGTGGATCCTGTACAGTATGGTGGTTAATAGCTTTGAAGTACAAAATTAATCAGGTTATTATACAAGATAACTAATACAATTAACTCTACACAGTGAGCACTTAAACAGCTATGAAAGAAACCCCAGTAAAAGACATCACAAAGTCTTGCTGTAGTTCACATTTTCAGCATCCAGCAGTGGATTTTCCTGTGCAGCAATGGGTAGGCTTTTGAAAATGGTGTATGGTAGCCAACACCTGCCCATGAGCTGTGCTGAAAAATGCAGCTTGCAAAAAAAGAGATGTGTTAATCTGTGTGGGACCTGTTGCCACTGTCCTTCATCACAGTGACACTTCYACAACACTTGAGTCCAGCGTGCAGATTGAGACCCTTCACGGAATCTGTTGCACTGTGGCAAGAGTTGCCARTGTGGTGAGATGTAATGCTTAGGAAAACTGAACATGTTTTAATGTGGATGTCAGGGTAAGGTTCTTAAATGGTTGTTTGTTGTCTTAATGTGTAAGTTGCCATTATTATGTAAATGCAATTCCTGTTTGAGTGTATTCTGTTCACTGATTATCAGGTGCAATTTAAAGAGTGCATTCTCCAAATGCTTCTGCCTATCTCCTAAGCATTCCTTACATAGCTACAGGGCAAGGGTAGAATATATCACAGCTCATATGTTTATGCTTGGTTTTCATTTATATTTGTTTATGTTTAATAGTGGCTTAAATAACTGTATATAGTAGATTAGGAAAAGAGCTTGATCTTTTACTTTAAGAATTTTTCTGTTTAACCTTGTATTTCCAAACATTTAGTTTTTAAATACTAGTATGAACTGCTTTTGCTTTTCATTATAATAGCTGTTTGGAATGTAGTAAGCAGTCTCAAGTTCTGTTACTTTAAAATATTGCTTCTATTACTTAATATAAATAAAATAGCATGAGTTTAAAAAATGAGTTCTAGGTTTTAGAATTAACAGCCCATTAAATTGTTCACTGCTATGAGAGAGCAAGCTGCAGGTTACCATTGTCACAGTTTATGTCTAATAATTTGAAATCTTTACCTGCACTACACCCCATAGTATGAATAATCTTTTTTAAAAAAAATACTTATTATACTAAATAAAATGAAAGTCGCACAAATTGTTAGGTTTTAAAATGTTTTGATGCAGAAGTAATTCAGTTCAGTCGGTGTGCTGTTACATCTTTACCTAAACTTTTCTCCTGTATATTGGAATTCGTCACATTTTAGATCGTTCAAAATAAAAGACGTATTTGTAATTTGTAATCTGTAAAATTAAGAATTTTTTTGCCTCAAAGAGGATGCATGTCATCGTTGTTCCCCACATGTATGTATCAATATACAGGCATAATCACTGGGAATGGGGAAAATGTATGTGAGGCAGTATGTTGAATCAAAGTAAAACCGCATCTGAACTCCAATGTGGAGAAGTAACTTCTTTATCAGTAGTTTCTTTATATGATTATATGTTGGTATATATTTCTGTAGATGAGAACTTCTGTTTGGAGGTTTTCTTTATCAAGCAGATCCTGCCCTTATAAATACAGCCTCAGTTATGTCTAGGAGTAAAAGCATCGCCAAATGGCCTTCATGCTAACGCTATAAATTGACAGCTCCTTGGATCTGGAGATGGTCAACAGAAATTAGATAAGGGTTAAAGCTGATTACGTGGAGAAGTCTCTTGTTTCTCTGTGCATGTCTTGCCTCGAGTGGCACTGCGAGTACCAAGCCAGCCACAACTTTTTACTTTCATTAATGGGTATATTTTTATGCTTGGTGTCCCTCAGAGATCCAAACTAGGCCAGTGTAGAGTTTATTACAGTGTGAGCTTTGTGCTGGCCTTATTTTTCTTCTGGAGGGAGATTTGGAAGTGGGAACGTGTTTCTGTCTTTTCAATTTGAGCTTTCTGTGAGCTGCTGCAGCATCAGAGTGAATTTCCCTCACGGACTCCTAAGGGAGTAATCAGTGTGTTTGCTGAACTTGACTCTCGGTGCCAACCACACTGAAAATTACATTTCACTGCAGGAATAATGCACAAAASCCTTCTCCTGACATTTGCAGATCTCTGCACAGGCAGGACAACAGCTTTTTAAGTGATGATCTTGCTTTACGTGGGACTTCTCTCTGCATACCTGGTGGTGTGATGGGCCCATGAGCAGCATCTTCACCACCTTGCTAGCATGGCACAGCCATGGCCGATTTCTCCAACCTGCATCTCAAAAAAAGCTGAGGTCTCCTCTCTAGTGTTGGATGCTATTRCTCTGTTGGGTGCCGTAATGCACAGTATTAAAAAATAATTTGGAGAGAGCAATACACMTTTTGTGGAGCCCAGCAGCCTGGTGTTGCAAAGGACCATGCCAAAACCACTTCCTCCCTTGCTGCATTTAGTTATACAGCAAGCCTMGCAGGAGCTTGCAGTTTCAGCTAGCTGTGAAAAATGGCTTTTTCCTTTTAAATGGAAATGGAAGCGTTGCTCCCATTATTGAAGATTTCAAAGGCTAGCACTATTTTTTCTTATGTGTATTCATAACACATGCCTGAGGTGTCTTGTAGTTCGTGTAATGAAGGATAGTAGCGCTTCTTTGGATATCCTAACGTTAACAGGCTTTTGTGAAGGTATAGAATTTTCTGCCTGTGGTTTTGTATCTGAAATTTGCTTTAATTTCACTTACACCCAAAAAAGCCTGAAATAATATTTTTTAGAGGTTTGACTGTTGTTTAGCAGATGACAGACCCTTGCTTTGTGCTCTACTGTGGGGAGCTAGTAATACTAAACCCAAGCAAGCTTGTGCTTTTAGATGTGAGTGGTTTTTTGTTTGTTTGTTTGTTTTTCAGATATAGCCTGGGTAATGGATAATGAAATGTTTAGTCAACTTTATTGGCCTTCTTTTCCTTGCTTTGTTACCTAGTGCACCCTTTTCTGTCACTGAAACT